AGCCATCCGTCAGCCCAAGGCCTGGCTCCAGGGTGAGGGACGCCCCAGGGGCGCGGGCGGGCGAGGCCTCGGGGATCACCTAACAGACCGCCTAGGAGATGATTCATTGTGGGAGGCTCATCACCACACCCTGCCCTGGCTTCTTATTTATTTATTTAACGGTGTTTCTATCTGTCGGGGCACAGGCATCCTAGTGCCAGCAATGGGAGCAGGGGCCACACCATCACTAACAGACGCCAAGCCAGCGCAGCTCGGGTTAGAGGCCAGGGTAGCTAGGGTCAGGTTTCGGGGAACCAGGTACTGGAAAGGCCACGAGTCTGGGCCAAATACTGGAGAGACCAGGGGGGTCTGAGCCAAGCGCTGGGCTGGGGGGCAGCTACTGGTGAGGCCATAGGTCTGGGCTGGGGACCCCTGTGTCCATGCATGAGGCAACTGGGAAAGCAGGCCACCCAGGGCCAGTTACTGGCTTGACTGGGTGTCTAAGGACAGTTATAGAGAGTTACATGTAGTACATGCATGTGTGAGCACACACATGGGGTCTAAATACCAGCAACTGGAACAGGGCTGTGCACCTCCAGGGCTGACAGCCCCTGGGGAGACCTGGGCATCTGGGAGCAGCTACAGACAGACTGGGTACCCAAGATCAGCTAATAGCAGGATCCATATTACATATATACATCTCTGTGTGTATTCTCCCACTAACAGGATTTCATCCTGACCAGCCAGAGAGGGAAGAAGGATCAGGCCATTTGTACTGTCCATAGGGCTACCAGATTCAGCCACTCCAAACATACAGCACTTTCAAATAAGGACAACTTTTTAAGAGGCTTTATTTCTAAATACATGATCACGTGTGAAAGTAGGCTCTGAAGTTGGGAGCAACTCTGGAAGATTTAGCTTGCTTAAACTTCAAGATACATGAGTTGTAACTGCCACTTTGGATATTTCTGCTTCATTGACCTAGAAGTAAATATTCCTTGGGAGAAATCTCAAAGGTTTGCCATATCAGTTAAAAGATGACTGCAATAATACACTTCACAAATCTCTGGGCCAAATCCCAGACTGAAAGAAGAACAAATACTTAGAGAATGTCAGCTCAGATGTTAGAAAAAAAAAAACAGTATAGTGACCTGGGAAATCTTTCTATGTATACTTATGCACTTGTTTGCTTTTTTTAATGCATTTTTAATGCAACGCTCACAATACAATACTTGTGATACTTGTTACCCTCTGTACTGTCCTTTACCTGAATTTTGGCTCAAATTAGGACACAGGCAAAGCAGTAACAATGTATATTACTAACTGACCATCCTCCTTTCATAGGAAAGCATCCCAGTTCGGTGAGATGGCAGACACCAAGAGGTTAACTCCAGCAAGTTGTCAGCAGAGCAAGAATAACTAACTCTTATCAACCCTATCAGTCTGAAAAAAAACACACTCAAGAAGTGAAATTCAGTAGAAGCAAGTGGCTAAACTGGAAAGATAAGGAAACTGAATGAAAGAATTTTGTAAAGTATTTCAAATGTTGAAAGCGTTTCATATTTTGTTACTTTTCTCGTGCTATAGGAAGTGATGAGCAATTGTTTCTAAAAAGTCTTTTTACAAAAACTGTGTTTAGCTATCTGGTATCTCTGAGGAAGTAACTCTGTGTTGAAGTACTATCAGAACAGATGAATGTGCTTTGGCAACAAGGCTGTGAGCTCTGATGCTGAGGTCCCTATACAGACGAGCCTGAAGGCTTACCGTGGAAAAGTGCCAGTTTCCACTTTGCCCAGACAAAAAGGGAGCTCTGGAGCACACTGCCCTCAAATACACAAGGTCACAAGACAACAATCTTGTTCAGCCTTGGGAATTACACCAGGGTTACAGACCTGCAGATACACAGCTTCCCAACGGACAGTAACCACTTTGGATCTGCCATGGGACTCCCTGGGACTGGAAACGTGGAAGAGAGTAAACCCATCAGATGCCAGTTTACCTTAGACCTTCTACCGTATGCTCCCTACTCTCTATGGATGAAATGAGCTAAATAACTAGAGATAAATTGCCTACTGATATCAGAAAAACTGCAAAAGCTTCCACCACCAAGTCCTTGCACATCAACAAGATAGGAAAGAGGCATTAGGACTTGACCACGCAGCTAGCGCCAGCTGTCATCTCGGGCACTTCTGCATTGTCTCTGCAGTTAAGAAAGCTCCAGCAAAGCCCGCCCATCCTACAAACGAAGTAAGAATAACTCCATACCCCAAAGCATGGGAAAGGTCAGGAGAAAGTAGAAAAGAAATGAAGAAGCCAAAACAAAGAATAACCTTACAGCCAGTTTCATAACGATGATTCTGCTTTGGTTTTAATGAAAAATTTACGTTTAGCTTCCTCATTCCTGTTCTCCACACTGAACACTTGTGCCAGCTGCTTTATCCGCCTAACTTTGCACAGCCTTCCCCCATGTGCAACAGGGGAATTCCCTGTAGCCTCCGACAACCATTTCTAGTGTAGACTGCAAAAGCAAAGCAGCTATCTTCAAGCAGATTCCACGATTGTTTGCAAAGAAAAAAAAAACAACACCCCAGGCATTTCTTCCTTCTTAGTTGAGTAGTCTTGAAAGTAATGAAAAAAAAATAATACAACTGAAAATCCTGAAAGAGTTCTGCTGGAAGGAAAGAGAGTACACTACAAGCATCACTCTAAGGCAGGGCTGCCCCGAAGAGCAGACCACTTCTGAGCTGGATCTGGTCTGCCTTTATTTGCCATGGAAATGCAGGACACCCTGCAGAGAAGAGCCTGACTTGGAAAGAGCAGAGAAGACTTTTAGCTTTTGAAGGCTACATTAAAAAAAATGAACAAAACAGTTCGGTTATTAAAGTAGCACCACTGAGATGCAGATAGCATGGCCTACTTAACATCCTTTATAATCATGTAAATTGTCTCTTTTCTGCTAGGATAGATTAAAATTATAAAAAGCTTAAGTAAAATTTTAACTATTTTAGTTCACGCACATAAGTACAAATTAGTCCTGATTTCTAAACACAGCTTTGTTTTTAAAGCATCCAAAGCAGCACCTCTACACACTTGACTGAGGAGTATTTCGCAGGCACTTCAGGGCACCTAGAACGCGGTTATAGGTCATGTATATTTTATACGTGACCTATGTCGTATATATATCGTATATATCACAAACGCGGTGCCGAGCGCTGGTTTTGACACGTTTTTGTCATCAGAACACTGAGCGCTCTCCCTGCGAGCGTTACCACAATTAAAGCAAAGCGGTCTACAAGATCTTTTTCAGATAACTTTCTAGGTAACAAATTTAATCAAAGTAAAGGGGAAAGGAGAAATGCAGATAACACACCAAACCATGAGGCGATGTGAGAAGTCGAGGCTGACGGGGCTGCCGGCGGGCCCGCCACCCCCGTCCACCGCTCTCCCCGGGCCCCGGGAGCCGAGCCCCCGGGGGACCAGGGCCGGGCGGACCCGGCCGGCTGCGGAAGGCGACCTAAATGCTCGGGTTTTTTTCCTTATTTTTTCCTCCACGGGACGCCGATCTCCGGTGCTCTTGCGCGGGGACCCGGCTTTCCCAGCTCCCCGGGGCTCCCGGCCGGCACCGGCTCCCCCGCCCCGCCCCCCCCCG